TTTTTTTTTTTTTTTTTCCCGCCCCCTTCAGGGGGGGGGGGGACCTTTTTGCATTTTTTTTCTCCCCCCCCTTCACCCAATTTCCCCCTCCCCCCGGTTTCCCTTGCCCCCCCCCCCCCCCCCCCAAAAAAAAAAAAAAAAAAAAAGACCCTCACATCCCTCTCATTCCTCCCATCCTATCACTGTTTACTTGCTACCACACTCCATTTCCCTGGCCTTGGCCTTCGGTTGCTGCAGTTGAATGAACTCAGACACTGTTCAATGAACTAAGCGTCCACGCCATCCATTACCCACTCTGCAAAGAGGTGTCACCTTTTTCTCTCTCGGTTCTCTTCTTCCCTCCCATCCTTTCACTACCACTTCTTAAAAGCATCTTTTCCTTTCTTTTCCCTTGATATTCAATCTTACATCTATATTGATTTTCCATTACCATATCTCTTACCCTAAAAATTGCGACTTATTCCTAATCTGATACATGCCTAGGTACAGCTGACGTCTATCGACCTTCTCAAGTAAGTCAAGGATCATCGACCTGATATCCCCCCCTCTTCTGCTCTTCTCTTCCGTTTGAGTTATAACTGGCAAGTCTCCCGTTCTGGTATATCTGGCCAGACCTGGGAGAGACGCTATAGCGCCCAAATTTATGAATGGGATTAGCCAACCTTCTGGGGGCCGAGTATACGTCATTCTCTTTATCTAATATAGCGTTATTCCCCAAAGCTCTCCGTTCTTCAACGGTCCGGCTATTTTGCCAAATTTTCTTTGCGCCAGCACTTCCTTTTCCCCGGCTTATCACAGGTTATACTTGTGATCCACACCTTTTTTATATGCATATAAGCCAACCCATGCATTCATGTCATTACCCGGCATGTCGTAAACATGGATCTTTATTTTTTTGTTTTGTTTTTCTTTTCATTCCCTCACTCTGGGAGATACTACATACTTAAACTCTCTCACACACGCCCTTGCTTAGACGGTGATAGTCTGCTTATGTATCACCGTTTTATCAATCGTGACTAACTAAATATAGCGTGAGCGATCACGCTCTCCACGACGCCGCTCCCGAAGTCCTCGCCGGAATCGGCGATCTTTCTCACCCCGGAGCCGTTCCCGCAGCCGTGAAGACTATCGCCGCAGTGATCGACGATCGAGATCTCCCATGAGCGGGGTGGCTGCTGCTTCTGGAGGCTATTCAGGTTCCGCATACGGAGGTCGTAGTGGTCCTCCACCTGCTCGTTCACTTGAGGATCGTGCCGTTGCCAAGGAACAGATGATGCAATCAGTCCGCGAATCTTCCCAGCAAGACCGCCGAGTCTATGTTGGGAACCTATCCTACGATGTCAAATGGCACCATTTAAAAGATTTTATGAGACAGGGTGAGCTGGACCAAAAAGAAAACATCCAATGAATGGCAATTGATGGGGGCATAGCTGACTGTGGACTACTACTATTTTCTACTATAGCTGGAGAAGTTCTCTTCGCCGATGTCTTATTACTTCCGAATGGAATGTCGAAGGTGGGCGTCATTGTGTAGTTGCGGCTGGTTTCCTGGTTTTCCTTTGGCCATTTTGATGAAATGTTGGGTTGACGGGTTGGGGCTTGGTGATTTGGTTTATGTAGGGCTGCGGGTAAGCCATTGTCCCTGAACGACCTTTATGCCATAATCATTACTTGGTGAAAAATATGTGTACTAACTGAAACATAGGATTGTGGAATACGCAACGAGGGAGCAAGCTCAGCAGGCTGTTGCAACGCTCAGTAACCAGAACCTTATGGGCAGACTCGTATACGTTCGCGAAGTGGGTGAAATCACCATGTCGTTTCTTCTCATTTTTCCTTCTATTAACTCTCTATTAGGATCGAGAGGCAGAACCTCGTTTCACCGGACCACCTCAACGCGGTGATTTTGGAGGTGGTCGAGGCGGATTTGGTGGCCCTGGCAGTGGCTCCAGTGGTGGACGCCAAATCTACGTTGCTAACGTTTGTATAACCACATTATAATTCGTGCTTCGCATTAACCACATAATACCCAGAGCGGTACCAGTGGCTGATAAAGTATGGACATACTTTGGTACGAAATCAGGCTGACTTGAATTTATAGCTTCCATACAATGTTGGCTGGCAGGATCTAAAGGATCTTTTCCGCCAAGCTAGTAAGTCATGATAAGCTCCTTAACTATGGCATTGCCTTTTGATTCGTATATATGTGAGACATGGGAGTATGAATTTATTAACAATATTTACAGCACAACAAGGCGCCGTTGTCCGTGCTGACGTTCACATGGATGCTGCCGGCCGCCCAAAGGGATCTGGTATTGTTGCCTTCGAAAGCCCTGATGACGCTCGCAATGCTATTCAACAATTCAATGGATATGAATGGCAAGGCCGCCCTCTTGAAGTTCGCGAAGATCGTTATGCCGGTGCCGCCGGTGGCTTCCAGGGCCGTGGCGGTTTCAGTGGTTTTGGCGGCCGAGGTGGATTCGCTAGTAGAGGCGGTTTTGGGTG